CAGCCAAACACTTTGAGTGGAAGGATCCCACCATTATCTCCTTTCAATATCTCACACGGAGACTTCCAATCCAGCACTCTCGAGGGCATTCTGTTGATCAACGCTGCTGCGGTCAATACTGCTTGTCCCCATAATGTCTCTGGGACATTCATAGAGATCATCATGCTTCTAGCAACCTCTAAAAGATGTCTGTTCTTTCTTTCCGCTACCCCATTCTGAGCTGGTGTGTATGGACAGGTTGTCTGGTGATGTATTCCTTGAGCTGACAAATATTCTTCAAGGGCTCTGTTGGTATACTCTGTCCCATTATCTGACCTCAATACTTTCACCACTGCTCCGTATTGAGTCTGAACAGTCCTATGAAAATTTTGGAAGCACCCAAACACATCACTCTTATTCTTCATCAGGTATAACCAAGTAACACGAGAGAAGCAATCAATAAATGTAACAAAATATTTGTATCCATTCATAGAACTTGTGGAACAAGGCCCCCAAACATCTGAATGTACCAGGTCAAATGCATGAGAACTTCTATGACCAGAACTAACATAAGAGCTTCTAGTAAGCTTTCCAAACTCACATGCATCACACACAAGTTTCTGTTTATTTGCTTTCTCAAATAAAGAAGGATACAATCTACCTAAAACACTAAAGGATGAGTGTCCCAAACGTTGGTGATGGAGCATTAACTCATTTTCAGTACTCGTTTTAGGTCCTACTCCTGCTTCCTCTATGACTGACACCAATGCTGAATCCAGCCCTTCACGATCCAGATACCACAGTCCACTACGCCATGTGCCAGTCCCAAGTCTCCGCCCTGTCCCCTTCTCCTGGAAAATTACCTTGGGAATATCAAAAGAAACAATGCATTTTAGTTGGAGGATGATAGAACTAATGGACAAAAGATTGACTGGAAAAGAAGGAGCATGCAAAACATTGGACAAAGTTACAGAATCAGTACAATCGACTGTACCCTTACCAACCACCGGCTAAAATGTACCATCAGCTGTTTGAATACTATCAGGCGATGCTAAGTGAGTATATGATGAGAACTCACTAGCATTACCTGTCACATGGCGAGATGCACCGGAGTCGACTATCCACTCTGATGATCTGTCGGGAGACATAGAAGCAAGAGCATGTATGTCATCAGTACCTTTGTTCGGATGAGCATAGGTAGCAGTGTTGCCTCTGACGAAGAACGAAGTAGATGCCTCCGCAGTCCCATTCCTCAAATCTCCATCCCCTGCTACTTGCTGTTTTTTTCTGAGTATCGTGAGGAGAGCACGACCCTCCTCTGTAAAAACCACCTCAGCTTCTTCTTCTTCTACTACTGTCAGATTTGCCCGATTCCCTGCTCCTCTTCCACCTTGTCGACCCCCACGGCCACGACCACGACCTCCGAACTGTCCACGTCCACCCGAATCTCCTTCCTTGGATGGCTTGGTGCAAACATGCCGTAGATGACCCACCGCACCGCAGTTGTAGCACTGTCGGGTCTCTCCCCTAGATCCAGTGTTGCTAGAGGCTGCCAGTGCTGACTTCACCACAGGAAGTCCACCTGTCCCCGCCTGCAGCCGAATGCGAGTCTCCTCCTGGATCATAGCAGAGATAGCCTCCTCAAGCGTGGGAATCTTCGGCTGAGCTAGCAGCAATGCGATTCGCTGAGCGAACTCTGATGTCAATCCTTTAAGAAACACCATAGTCCTCTCTTGTAGAAAGGCCTCCCGCTCTTTACATCCCGGGTCCTTACAGCTCGCCCAACTCGGTATCGTTAAAAAAAGAGGGGAAGCAGAACAAGTCAAGATGATATGAATCACCCCTTCTTCTTGCGCCAAAGATCTTACCATTTCCGAAGGAACTGGAGCTACATTTCTTTTCAATTTCCATTCCAGAGTTCCTATGTATTTCCACGCCATTTTATTTTTCGAGGTCTCAAAAAAAAAAAAATGAAATGGACAAATTCCTTTTCTTAGGAACACATACAAGAAAAAGGATAATGGTAACCCCACCATTAACTACTTCATTTTCATTTATTAATTTCATAGTAATAGAAATACATGTCCTACCGAGACAGAATTTGTAACTTGCTACCCTCTTGCCTAGCAGGCAAAGATTTACCTCTGCGGAAAGACTGATTCATTCGGATCGACATGAGGGTCCAACTACATTGCATTGCCAGAATCCATGTTGTATATTTGAAGCAGTTGACCCCTTGCTTCTCTCATGGTACAACCCTCTTCCCGCTGAGCCCCCTTTCTCCTCGGTCCACAGAGACAAAATGTAGGACTAGTGCCAACAGTTCATCATGGAAGAAGGGACTCACCGAGCCGGGATCACTAACTAATACTAATATAATAGAAAAGAACTGTCTTTTCTGTATACTTTCCCCCATTCCGTTGCTACCGCGGGCCTTACGCAATCGATCGGATCATATAGATATCCCTTCAACACAACATAGGTCATGTTCCGAGGGACTTAATATGTCAACAGTCCCTATACAGGAACGCGTGCTTAAACATGGCTAAGGGATATAATTAGAATTTAGGGTAAAATGTTAGGCTTGAGGGAGTAATCCCGTCAGTGCTAATCATAAGTTAACCAGGCGGACCAAACTGCAATTGCCTTTATAATTTGAGGGACTTATCAGCAACTTCAATATTTAAGGGACTAATTTCCAAATTACGGAAGATATGAGGGATCAATATCTAAAAACGCCCTCAAATTACTTTCCAAATTGGGCGCACGAGATGTTGACTTCTCCTCCGATTATCACGCCGTTGAAAACGGATGGCTTCTCCTAATGAACGCGATTTTTCAATTTTAATTGCTAGATTACAGCTGCACTCATTTCTAATTAGGGCGTCGGTTCAACCTAAATTATTGGATACCATGTGGTTTTTTAAGATTTGGAACAAAAAGTAGGAAAAATGGTATTATAGGATTCTAATAATTTCGTTTGGCTCAAAAAATTTTTGAGAAACTTTTTCCATAAAGCAAGAAAAGTACACAAAAATTTGAATTACCCAAATCCTTAGTTTTGGATGGAAAATGGGCAAAAACGCTTAAAAAAGACTTTCTATGATGAGATATTTCCTATTCTTTGAGAATGAGACAAACAAAATTTTGGATATGCTTTCCTTGTTTTTTACTATATAATTACGAAACAAACACAAGTTTTGATTTCTCAAGATATCCTAAAAAATTATGACATTTAGGGGGTGTTTGGTTCAAAAGTGGACAAGAATAGGATTAGGAATCCGATTTTTTTTATGGATTCCTATCAAATCCATAAAAAATTTAAAGATAAGTTTATGGATTCATGGAATCCTGTTTTTTTCTTTTCTATGTTTGTTTCATAACATGAAAAAAAAGGAATTCAACTTTATAGAAACCCTCTAATTCTTATTCTTTAGTTTGGTTTGGAATGAGAATAGGATTTGGTCTCATAATAATATAGGGTTTGTGAAGAAATGGAATCCGAAAAAAAAGAGAGGGAGAATAGTACGGGTGTGTCAGCTTTTTGGCTCAAATCATTAGGATTTGGGGTTCTATAAAATCACCATACTTTTTCAACTTTATAGATTTCGAAATCTATAAATTTGTTGTTAACCGAACTCAGGAATATAATTCATAAAGAATTCTTTATTTACGATTTTGTTACTGTAAGATTCATTTCCTATTATTATTCCATGAAAAGGGTGAAACAAACACCCCCTTAGTTTTTTGAGAGGGAATTCATTTTTATAATTTTTAGGAAATAAAACCAAACACGCCCTTATTAAAAATCTAAAAAAGTCAATTACTTAACTCATAAAACAAGTTCCACAAAAGTTTATTCTGCATGCAGCATGATAATATACTGTATATCCATTCATCAATTACGAGGCACTGTTATTGCGCACATGGGGCCAGTCAAACTGAGCATGCCCATTCGCATAATAACACTCAAAAACTTGTGTCCATTAAATAAAGGAATAATAATGCATGTAATGGAGCATGGTTCTAAGGAGCTGTTTGGTTCGCTGAGAAACTAAGAAAAAAAATTAAAATACCCAATACTCTCATGTGAAGTTGTTTGATTTCTTCTTGTGTTTGGTTGAGAGAAAAAAAAGATGTTGTGCTGTAGGACCTATCCAATAGTAAGTTAATAGTGCAATGAGTTCCAATTTTAAGAAAACTCATTTTCTTCCAAAAAGTCATGAAATGAGTTTAAAAATATGAAAATAGGTCCCACAACCTATTTCCCATGAGTAATCTCCCAAACTTGGGTTTCTAGGAAATGAACCAAACAGCCCTAAAAAGAAATGTAGCTATAATTGTAAAATATATTTATCTATTTTTCTTTGTTTTACGGAAAAAAAAAACTAATTGTGATAAAACTATGATAAATCATTTTCATAAAATGGTTTAAACTTCTAATAAAGGAAAGGCTTTAATATAAGGACATAAGTAACTAGTTATGTCCATCGTCCATTCTACCAAACAACATGATACACATGATATTGAACAAAATTCCATTATCCGCTTTATTTTTAGTTATTAATTAATCCAACACGCTATAACAAATAAAATTCATTATATATAAATCTCTAATGAAAATTTAATTGTTCCCAAGCGATGCCAAAATGAAGGAGTTTTTTTTTGATAATATAAACAAAAGATTCTCGTTGTTCCTAAGCTTGATGAAGTGATAAACAAAATGTGGTTTTTCTTGGTTTTTAGGAAATAACCAAACAGGCCCTAATAAGAAAACTTCTTACAAAATACTAAACAAATAATTATTAGCAATAGTCGCAATTAACGTTTGACCTGAACCGCGCCCCTTAAAACACGAAAACGCGTCAAGACGCGGTGCAAAACAAATTTGGAAAGGGTCGATACGCAAAATATTAAATTATTAGCTGGCGCTTGCATTGCGAAAGGAAGCAACGAATGAAGTTGCCCGGATCCATTCAACAAGCTCAACGCGCACTTATAAATGCAAGCTTCGCCGTTGTTCTCACTCCATTACATTACAATCAACATCTCTCTCTCTCTCTAGAGCTTCATTCTCTCTCTACAATGAGAATATCTGCAGTTGTTCTTCTCTTCTTGTGTGCAGCTTTGCTAGTGAATGCTGAAGATCCTTACAGATACTTCACTTGGACTGTCACTTATGGGACTATTTCCCCTCTTGGTGTCCTTCAGAAGGTTCGTTTTCGATTCTCTCTCTCTCTCATTTAACATACCTAACAAGATAGAATTATTCAGTATCCAAATTTTTTCCACGGTACTCAGGATATTTCCACGGTACACACGTATGTTTGCAATCCTGAACAACGCAGAGGGTTTTGTCTAATATTGCGTTCTCCTCTTGCATCTACAGGAGGGTATTCTCATCAACGGCCAGTTCCCTGGCCCAAAACTCGACTGCGTAACCAACGACAACATCATCATCAACGTCATCAACAACCTCGACGATTCCTAATAACTTGGAACGGGATCAAACAGAGGAAGAACTCGTGGCAAGATGGAGTCCTCGGCACGAACTGCCCAATCCCTCCCGGTTCAAATTACACCTACAAGTTTCAGACTAAGGACCAAATTGGGACTTTCACGTATTTTCCTTCGACAGCGATGCATCGTGCTTCAGGGGGATACGGTGCACTGAATGTATACGCGAGGCCGCAAATTCCTGTACCATATAGCCCCCCTGCTGGAGATTTTACGCTGCTTGTTGGTGATTGGTATAAAGCTGGACACAAGGTAGAAAAGATTTATTTTTGTTAAGCGACGTTTTTTTTATATAAATAAAAGAAAATTAATTGTAAAAGTTTAATGTAATTTTTGATATTTTTGCAGGTACTGAGGCAATCTCTGGACTCTGGAAAAGCTCTTGGTCTCCCCGACGGGCTTCTTATTAACGGAGTTACCCAGTATACTTCCTTCACTGGAGACCAAGGTATGTTCGAGTTTCGGATCGAGCCCTTTTATGTCATTTTCTATATATTCAAACCGATTCTTAAATCTAAACATTGCTTTAGAGCAATTCATTCAAAACTCTCATCCTTACTGATTTCTCACATCAATAATCTAAAAATTATTGCAGGAAAAACTTACCTGTTTCGGGTATCAAATGTGGGACTATCACAATCCATCAACTTCATGATCCAAAACCACCTCCTAAAGCTAGTTGAAATCGAAGGATCACACCCGATCCAGAGCACATACGATTCTCTCGACATCCATGTAGGCCAATCTATGACGGTGCTCGTCACCCTGGATCAATCCCCTAAAGATTATTACATCGTCGCCTCGACCAGATTTAACAGGAAAGTCTTAACCGCCACCGCGACATTGAGGTACAGCAACTCTCAATCGGGCGTTTCGGGTCCGGTACCCGCTGCTCCCGCTGGCGGGTATCATTGGTCAATGCGCCAAGCTAGAACTTTCAGGTAATTAATCAAGTTTTGTTTACAAAGATCACTACTCAAGTATCCAAGAAGTAAGCATGTCGAAGTGGTATCCCTAGCCTAGTTAGAATAAAACTAGTACAGGTTGCTGTGTGGATTTATCGATCGATTATGAAATACAACAAAGTATTTTCTTTATTCTCGTGGTTAATTCAGAAGGGTTTTCAAAAAAAAAAAAAAAAACTTACCTCGTTTACTACGTTAATTGATGAATGTATTATTCGTTTTTAATAATGCAGATGGAATTTAACTGCAAATGCCGCGAGGCCTAACCCTCAAGGATCATACCATTATGGGACCATTCCAAGATCAAGATCCCTATTTTTAGCAAATTCAGCACCTCTGATCAAGGACAAGCAGAGATATGCAGTTAATGGTGTCTCATATATCGTTCCCGATACTCCATTAAAGCTTGCTGATAGATTCAATATCGACGGAGTTTACACCTACGACAGCATTCCTACTGATTCTACTAGGAGTGCTAATGTTACTGGGACGCCTGTCGTTCGACTTGGTTTGCATGATTTCATCGAGATTGTGTTTCAGAACACTGAAAACACAATGCAATCTTGGCATCTTGATGGATATAGTTTCTGGGTTGTTGGGTAAGTCATTTTGTTCCTCTTATCTCTTTGTTTTTTTTTTGGTTCAGAATGACATAGTTCACATTATATATACTTATGCACGTTAAGTTCATTTCTTCGACAACGGACAAAGGTAACATTTTTTTTTCGTGGACGGTGATCAATTTAGGATTCAATACCTTTGAATAAATCACGGGTGAAGATAGTCCGATATTTGAACAAAGTTTTGACAAACAAATGATCAAGTAGTTTGTCCCTCTCCTGAGTTTGTCAAATATTATAGGTTGTGAGGACATCTGCGGTGTGATCCGCATCAGCAAAAAGGCTATACTTGGTGCACTTACAGTTTTTTTCCTTCTTCTTCGTTTATGCAGCTACGGAGGAGGTCAATGGTCCGAGAAAATGAGGAGGCGATACAATCTAGTTGACGCCCTCTCACGGCACACAGTTCAAGTAAAAACCCCCACCCCGTGCTCTCGAGCAAAAAACTCAATATCAGTTTCTTCATCGAACTAGTTCTAATTCTGGAAAAAAAAACCCCGCTAATTTCGTATAATTATCTGCTCTGTATGTATAGGTTTATCCATACGGATGGTCGGCGATCTTGGTGTCGTTGGATAACCAAGGGATGTGGAACTTAAGATCGGCAGTGTGGGCAAGGCAATACCTTGGCCAGCAATTCTACATGAGAGTTTGGACGCCAGAGCAAAGCCTTGCGAATGAGTACATGATGCCTGATAACGCCTTGCTTTGTGGGAAGGCTACGGGTCTGCACCCTTGATGAAACCTGATCCATTCATTATGATAAGATAGAGAAGGAAAAATAACAGGAAGATAATAATTTCTGTGCAAAGAAACGTAATTGATGATTTTTTTTTTTTCATTTTTTTCATTTTTTTTTGTCGCGACTAATTTATTTATTTGTTTTCTTGTGTACGTGCTTGGGCTAGTGAATATATGCCTAATTGATTGCTGAACCTTGAAAATACTCACCGTTGTTTTTGTGATTAGATTTTTTCGTATATGCCATAATTTTCATTTAATTGTTTCTTGTGGCTTTCTTTGCCGTAAACTTTGGCAGAAGGCAAGCCAGGAAGTTGTATACTGTGGAAAATTGTTGCTATATTTGTTTGTATAACTAATTAGGAAAAAATATTTGGTGACTTAACGTTAAGGAAATTTGCCATTTATTTTGGACAAATTGGTAAATTTCTTTGAGGGGAGCCTCTCTCTCTCTCTCTCTCTCTCTCTCTCTCTGTCTTAAATTAAGAAACAAACTTTCTAAACTCAAAATTTAAATAATGGTTGTTATAGTTGAGATTTTTTTTTTGCTGTCTTTAATATAAATTATTCAATATTAGTCTCTTTGAAACTGCACTATTATACTTTCTATTTGTTATATCAGGTGTGCAAGTTAACTAGTTATTTGGGGGGGAATTTTTGTTTCTTAGTCCTTTTTATTTGTCTTTTCCTTACTATTGTACTCATAATTAGTAATTGGTTTTGTTTAAGAAAATATCGAATAAGATTCTAACAAGGCCTTCATTAAGAGAAGGCCATAAATGTTCATCTCGGCTGTTCGGGCCCAATTAGGCTTACGGCAATTTTGTAAAACTACAATCTGGCGCTCGAGGCTTGATATTCTACGCGTAAAGCTCGAAGGTTTCCATAGTGGGCCCGTAGACAGCCGCGAAAGGGTTAGGGTCCATCATTTTCCGAATTAATAAGTACAAAAAATGAGAAAGGGAAATATCCTACGTATGACATTAGGGGGGAAAACAGCAGCTGAGTACCAAAAAGGTTAATGGCCGGCCCTAGTTTGGTGGACAATAAATGCAGTCATGCGAAAGTGGCCCACTGGGTGTATTTTAAATGGGCCTCAGTTGGCTGCACAGAGGGTGTCAAGTTCTGCTGCCGCAATGTTTTTGGGTTCTCTTTGTAGGTTGGGGCTGGCCTAGAAAGTGGCCCTGCTGGTTATCAGCCTGCTTCTCAAGGCCTTGCTTATTAATTCGAAAAGGTAACATTAAATAGTACTGTCATTCTTGCAAAAGAATGTGGATGTATAGACCCTAATTGCAACTTCACCAGGTGATTTCACATTGTGTCTCTTGTAGCATCATGAGAATTGTAGCATCATAAATAATATTGATTTTATCACAAATGTATCATGATATTATTTTGGTAGTATAACGTTTACATGTCTCGTAAAATGTTGGGAAAAAGCGGGGGTGATTGATTGACCTTTTCCCCCTCCTCTGTAGATAAAATGGATTAATAAGGAAAATAATAATAAAATAATCATAAGAAATAGCTAGCAGGACATCAGTATTTTTATCGTGGAAAGCCCTTCAACTGAAGGTAAAAAACCACATGACCTAGTCATAAAAAAAAACTTTCACTATGAATATAACTTGAACACAAGACACTTCGCTAGAGCTATACTAGCAACAAATAAAGAGGAAAATAGGACTTCTTCTATACCAAGAAGGAACAAAAAAGACCAACTCTTTTTCTTTTTCTCTCTCTTTTTCTCTCTTTCTCTCTAACACTTCTCTACGACTTGAATCTTATTGTTGCTCTGCTTGTTCTGCCTTGAACCGATGAAATACATCTCATTTTACAAGCAAGAGCATTTCATAGGAATGAGACAACACACCTCAAAATAAGGTGAGCTACAAAACTAGATGGTAGCTCACTTTGTGGCTCAGTTATTGATATAAGTATCAACAATTGTTTTCATGTGTTTCAGCAAAATCTTGCATGCAGACTCCACCGTCCCATAATTTTTTATTATGTGACCTCCAAATGAGGCGGGACCCACACAACGGTAACTACATCGGTAACATTATAAAAAATTGATAAAATGGATTTTTATGCTAAATTGGGATCAATATACTTAACTGGGATATCATAATTAATTTTCGTAGAAAAAGATATCAGTTGACATAATAATATCTTCAAGCAGTAGTAAAAGGAAATAAGTTAAATTGATACTAAATGTTATTTTCTAAACTCTACTAATCCCAAGCTATATTATGGAGTCAAGAATGAATAACAATATCATTATGAACTATAGTTCTAGCAATAAAAAAATAACATTTCTTATTGCATTGAAATTAGAATTACACTGTACTTTTTAACATTATAAGCTCATGTTTTATAACAAACAATCTCAAAAGCAAACATAAAAAAAATCTTAAACTATAAAATAGACTGTATGGGCCCTCTAACATAATTTTTTAATCCAAGCAACCCCCAAGATTAATTTTGAAAATATATTGGTTTTGTGAAAGAGTTCGGGTGTAAAGAACAAATGTTAAATTATCTAAAATGATTAAAGTAGGATCATATAAATTAACCCCATACATGAAATTTATTTTAACCAAAACCTATATATAAGTATTATAATTGGTATTGAGATCAAAGATACGTGTGAGATTCTCTTTGACTTTTATACAAAAAGTATCTATTTAAATAATAATAGTATAATTAAACTTTATGATCTGAAAAGAAATCAAACTTATAATATAATTAATTACTTTAAAATAATCTAATCTAATCTAATAAGAAAAAAATAGATGAAAGTATTGTGAAAGTTTTTGTAATTTTATAATTCATAATTCTTAAACAATCTAATCTATTCTAATAAGAAGAAAATAACAAAGACACATACTTGTTGAAAGAGATAAAAGTACTGTAAAAATTATTGTAATTTTTATCTGAAAAAAAGATCAAATATATAATATAATTAATTATTTTAAAATAATCTAATCTAATCTAATAACAAAGGCACATGCATGTAGAAGGAGATAAAAATGCTATAGAAATTATTGTAATTTCTTGGCTTATATATATTGGCATATGATGTTGCATGTGAAAGATTGCTACTTTGTGTGGGATTATTAATCATATAGCATGTGAATAATTATTTGTAGATTGGCATTATTATTCATGTCGCACATGAATAATTGTTTACAATTTGATCATTGATCACATATAAGAACGAGGGGTAAATTTAACATTTAATAAATCATCTAATTAACCTAAGCGTATTGTGAACTACTTGAATTTTAGTCTATGAGAGATCACCACGTTGTGTGTAATTATTAATCATATAGCATGTGAAAAATTGTTCTCAGTTTGGCATTATTAATCATGTAGCAAATGAATAATTATTTACAGTTTGATCATTGATCACATATAAGAACGAGAGGGGTAAATTTGGTATTTAATAAATCGTCTAATTTATCTAAGCTGCTCTTTTATTCAGGTTTACATTTTAATTTAAACTATATCATTATCTTTATACTATGTATCTCTAATAAAAATTCATCAATTTATCAACTTACTATTATTTAATGGTTAGTATTTAAATCCTAAGGGTATTTTTGTCTACTAAAAGATTTTTCTGAACTTGTACTTTTAAAAAGAGTATGATATGATATGATGTGATATCAAAGTAGTATGAGAATTATATTATTTGGAGACTTTCAATGTGACAACATCTTCTTGATTGATTGCTTCCCACTTTTAATATCCATCTTACCTCTCCTCACTAGACTCTTTTAAGCCATCATGCTTTGAAGAAGAAACATCTCTTCTTTTGGAAGGTGGCTAATTATTTTTAATGACCTTTTCTTAGGAACACTCTCCCATTCTGTCTACTTAATATACACCCTAATTCGTCTGTTGTGGTGGAGAAGTAGTATAGGAGAGAGTAGCACACTTATTATGATTTTAATAGGAGTCATCATAAAATTATTACGAGGTTGGTCTTGTTTTGCAATATGTGGCAGGTAATTAGTGCTCTTTCAACTTGCTTCTTAAACAATGTGGCCGTTCACTTCTATATGTTAGATAGGAACATAAAAATAAACTTTTGGCAATATCTCCATGTCATTGATCAGTGCAGATTGTTATGAATTTTATCAAATAACGACGTTGTAGGCATTTAAAAAATGCCTAAAGATATCCAAATACAGTTCAAGATAAAGAGAAGACGATGATGGTTGAGGAGATCATCCAAAGCCAGAAGAGACAAAGAAACAGGTGAACCAACACAAAATAATAACTTGAAAAGTTGATAAACAATGAATACTGATGCGTGTAGGCGCGTCAGTAATATCATTACTGACGCGCGTAGGCGCGACAGTCATTACTGACGCACATAGGCATGACAGTCACCACTAACGCGTGTATGCACGCAGTGACTACTGACGCGCGCATAGGCGCGGCAGTGGAGTGCGGTGTGCGTCTTCATGGGGTGTCTTTTTGTGATTTGCTGACGGTTTTGAGCATATTCTTAGAGTCCGCATGGCATTATAACAAAAGAAGAACATGCACTAACGTGGAGGGATGGTTACAGGCCGAGAAAAGTGGCATTTCATGGATAAAAAGTCATGGGAAAATAGTTACAAAGGTGGCTGAACGTGGCTGGAACCTCCTCTTCAGCCGCGCCAGCCTACACGAACGTGCTAAAGGTCGCGGAAGTGTCGACTGACGCGCCCAAAGAAGGTGCAACTAGTCAGTTATTGCGCACCCATTTCCACAGTTATGGGCCTCTATTCCTATAAATAACTCCCTATACACGAATCCAAGGATAGAGGGGAGATTAGAGCAGAGAAGCTGGAGCTTTGGGTAAATTTGAGCAAGAGAGAGAGAGAGAGAGTCTTTGTTTCTTATAAACGCTTTTAGAGCTTTCAGTGATTCCTAGAGATCTAAGCTCTGACTTGATCTTTAGAAGAGTGAACATCTTACATCGATAAGATATTCGCTTTAAATTCTTACTTCGATAAACGAAGAAAGAATCCCTAAAACCTTCACGATTCAATCAGGATCTTGTGAATCGGTGGTCCACAAGCTAACGTACTCCCGGCACAGGCGAAGTCCCCACAAAAGCAGAAATCGATAAACGATTTTTGTGTTATTTTTTAGAAAGTTATAATTTTTTATTTTTATTGTAATTCATTATAAGTGACCAAAGTTTTAATAGATTTTACAATAAAAATAACTTTCGATAAAAACAAACCAGCGACCACAGTGG